AAGCTTTTTATATATCAGTTAGACTGTTGTAATTATAAAAGAACAATGACAGAAGTGTGGGTCTTACTACAAAGTAAAGATAGTAAGAAGGGAAGTATAAAATTCTTACGTGGTACTAGTAGTACATACAAATCACACAAGGTTACCATTCTAAATACTGAATTATATTTTTATTATGAACTAAATATAAAATTATGCTAAATTATTGAACTTAAAACTATTAATTCTAATGCAAAAGAACATAAAAATCACAAATTCTTTCAGTTTCAGTTCAAAGTGCTAATTCACATAAAGACCACGCACTCGCCACTCAATAGGTATTAATTCTAACATTCATGGTTCAACTTTTTTCCTAAAAGTATATCTATTTTGAGTTCATTTTTCAATATAATTATTAATATAAATAGATATATATGATATAGCACGACTTAAATTACTATAGAAAAATAATAAGTAACATACATCCCATAAAGGTTTTTCCGAAAGTAAATTTATCTAAGCCATATAAAAAAAGTACTATTGACCACTACTAAATACAACATCTACATAAAATTGCAGTTAGTATAATAAGCACCACCCGTGTTCATATTGTAAAATCCAGAGAACAACGTTTCATCACGTGCTTTGCTTATCATCCTATGATTTGCCAAACGTGAAATACAGCGATTGGAATAACATGGTACTGAAATTGACACCTGCGACTAGGATTGGCTAAAAGTTTTACAACTAAGGTTTAACATGCCCAGATGCTATTTTATAAAGAAAACAGACTAGAAAAAGGTTTAAATACCAATCATAGATGGCAGTACCAGCATTAAAGTGCAAGGAAAAAATTTAAAAACGTTGAAAAAATTTTTTCTTAGAGGGTGCTTATTTATAGTCTCAAACATATTTTGGGATTTTGTTTTCAAACTTCTCTTCAAACGTCATTAAATAATACAATTTTGGACAAATAATTGAATATTATGCTACTATTTACAAAAAATAAAATCTGAAATCCAAAACAAGATAAGTTCTCTATAATTTTTTCAATTCATATGTAATTTTGCCCTCACGATAAGACCATTTTGGCCCCTGTAGTTATATAGTTAAAAGGGGTTAAAAAGAGATAATCAAATGATACAGAGAGTGAAGATGAACAACCAGATCAAATGACAAATCCCCAAAAACAGTTTGAAAAATCCAAAATAATTGTTATCAAATATACAGCTGGCTCAAGAAAGAGAAATGCTTCAATGGCCCTGTTCTCCTGTGTACACTACGCATGTTTGCCAAAGAAAGATTAGCAGGTTAATCTGATATGCTTATGAGATGTGCAATTGGTAGTTAGTTGCACTACCAGTAACATTTTATAAAAAGAATTACTGTGCCACAACTTGGTTTTAAGATTTTAAACTTTTGGCATTGGGATTTCACAGTGAATCTATTATAATTCAGTTCCATTTACACCTCTTGTTTGTTGTAATTAGCATTAGAAACTTTTTTGTTTGCAGGATGGTGTTTATGTTGTTTTATTCCATCTTCTTAAACTTCAATCAAATATGGATGTTTTGCATTTTTTTAATATTCCACTTTTGTTAGTACTTCATATTAGTATATTCACTACATCCATTTTAGTGGAACACATTATTAAATAATTGGAATTACAGAGCTAAGAATATTTTATTTGGCCCTTGAATTGGCTACTAACTTAGAAAATCTCAGAACAAGATGCCCTTAAGTATTCTAGCTTTGAGCCCTATATGTATACCATAATTCATGTGTAAAACATGCATCTAGCAATTACCTGTTCAGTTGTTATAACTTTAAACACACAGCAACAGAATTATGAGATACTTCATTTTTAATTTTTTAAATTTATTTCAGCTCCTAACTCTTGATTGTTAGCCAAGTTAGTGAAGGAAGATTTTGGTAACAACAAAATAACTTTGTAGTGCATAAAATACAACAGTTATGTATTCCTCACATAATTTTAAAATGCATATCCAATTTATTCAAATCATTAAAAGTGTAGTAATAAAAATGAAGAAACTTTCTATAAGAAAAAATAAAACCAACTTTAGAAATATCCTATTAATATACATATCCAGTGTCTGTCATGATTTAAACATTTCCGCTGTTTCTTTAACTCACACAGTCCCACAGAGTTCATATAATTTAGATTTAGTTTCTACTAAGAATTAACAGCAAAACAATTAAATCAGGCTGTTTTGCAAAGCTTGACAAGATCATGGTTCATACAATCAATGGCAGTCTAC